CGATAATTCTTTAGGGGAATTAAACTGGGAAGCAAACGGCAATTTACAAATAATATCCAGTCCTGTTGATCTTTGGGTGCTCATGCCACCTATATATTTTGAGACAGTTAATATGATGGCTGATTTAAGCTTTTCCATGGGTATCATACCCTTTTACATATCTCAACATAAACTTTATGATCAATAGAGGAGACATATTCAACACACATGAAAAAGCATAAAATATCTTTGAGATGACCCCTTGTGTATGTAGGCAGGACGTGCATTTCATGCCAGGTGAGTCGACGGTCCGTCGTCATACCTGGCTGAGCGACCTAATTGCGATCTATAGTCCGATCTTTTGCCTGATTTTACGAGTAAACATGCTTTTCTGGATATCATATTACGACGCATCCCACTGAATGCCCAGTTAGGCCGATGTGGGTTATTTCGATATATGCTATTTGTAAATTTGTCAATTTTAGGGATACAGAGTAACAACCTAACAACAGTTTTTTTCTATTTCTGATATGTGCGCTATATAAATATCCAAAAATAATAATAATGTAATCCACATATTATATGCAATATGGTCCACACATGCCACAGCATTGTGTGAGGAAGTTAGTTTATTGTACATTTAGTAGCATCAGCATATTTCCACCTTTGTAGGTATTGTGATGATATGCTTATTAGCCCCAGTCATGTGCCCACAATTGTTCTGCTGTCACTGATATTTTGCATGAACTATTGCATAATAAAGAAGTTGATATCCATAAATTCTCTCCTTTTATGTGTATCAGTTCTAAATGCTGTTCAAAGAATTTTATACAATAATTGTTTTACAATTGAACATACTTTAAGAGTACAAATTCACTAATTCACAAATTCACAAATTCTCAAATAATAAACAATCTGATAGAACAAATATTATATGGATGACAACTTCTTTTATTCTAGAGCACGACGTTTCGATACAGGTTCTTGTATCGTTTTCAAGTAAGAATGAATGACTTGAAAACAATACAAGAACCTGTATCGAAACGTTGTGCTCTAGAATAAAAGAAGTTGTCATCCATATATACTTGTTCTATCTGACTTCCAACTTCTAAAATGCCACTCAAAGAAGTCAAGAAACAATCTGTTACACTGTAAGTGAATAATAGAAGATTACCTTTTCTTATTTCACACTATTAGAAATAAGACAATGTTGTAAATCTTATTGCCTGGAGGAACCTAAAACATTCACATGTACAACATTGTTACCCGGTCGCCTTGTCTGGTGGAACATGATCCTATAAGCTTTGCAGAGTTATTTCCCTTGTATTGCAAGCGGTTTCAGCAATGTCGTCAGTCTTCATAGCACTAATTGTATTTGTCATCTGTTTAGAATTGGTGCTATCAGTCATAATGGTACTATGTGTCAATGTTCAATCTAAAATATATTAACGTCAGTTTCCTTCGGTTTGTACATAAGTTCATATGTTTATATGGCTGCGGTGATTAGGATTATGCAAAGACGTAGATATATATTTTATTAAGGGCATTGCACCAGGCAGTTTAACATTTAAGTTTCTGTACTTTATCTTATGTAACTGTCACCGTAGAAGGAGGTGCATAACCACTCTTGTCATGCCTCCATATATTCCCCGGGACAAACAACCCGTGCTCCTCAGTGTCAGCAGACGACCCAATCACGAGCAGTAACTGTTGATGGAAGACACATGCTCAAGGCGTTAACATGGAAATGATTTCATTTCTATATTGTCTAGTCAGATATGTCATCATAAGAATTGTTTTCTTGTATATACAGTATTGACAGGGGCGTAGGAACACTTTTTTCAAGACGAAACCATATCTACCTTACCATAACTACAATTTGATTTTGATTTTCATAACTTTTCATAAATTAGCTTTCTCTCCCCCCCCCCCGAAAACCGTTCCTGCGCCCCTGACTGATAGTAGGTATAAATCATGGGTACGTCAAGTCTTAACTGTCGAACCCCATAGTGACTCCAGTCTGGGTCCCTGGGTATACAGCGCAAGTCTGTCAGTCCACTGAACCATATTATTTTCCCTACTGCCTACAGTGCCTAGCCCTCCCTGCAATGCTAAAACCCTATCTCTGGTTTCCCTGGGGCTCCTTTTCAAGTTAAATGGGCTTGTTTGTTACTATCAAAACTATATATATGCAGAGACTAAGCAATAGTCTACTGTTTCAGCAGAGACAATTAATTACATGTACATGTATATGCATTGGTCTCTGGTTTCACTCATTTAAGACAGCCAATTGCTACCATTTATTTGACACCTGATCGAGAAATCAGCAATGCCTCTCGACTGTTTCAAACCTCGATTTGTGCAGCAACTTACAAAAATATCCCCAAGACAAGACAATAGTTACCTATACCTTGTGGTGAGTAATATTCAAGCAGCACCAACGTGATGCGATAACGTTGTCCTGAAAGTACTGACCCGTGACTCTGCAATGGAAAATACGGAACACAGAATGGTCAGTCATTGACATACCACATGGTACCCTTATGGACCCACCCACACAACGATCGAGCTGTGAAAATGCTGCATTGGGACGTTTCCAAAATCGATTTTTATGGCCAGAAAACGTCGAGGTTAAACTTCCATTCGTCAGAAAACCAGAAAAAAGCCCAACGTCGATTATCACAGTGATCACAATTTGGTAATATGTTCCTAACACATTAAACATCCATAAAACTAGATAAGTACTTTGCAGATAACAGACTGAATTCAGTAAAACCACACATCTTCATTGATTCTATTGCCAAGTGATTAAAATTACTCCTCGGAGCAGATGAAATGATTGACAGGTTCTGAAGCTGTACATGTTAGTTCCCATCTGCTGAACCCATTCAACACACATTTCGCACTGATACAATACTGGAGCGACGAGTCGTTATAAATCTATACAAATCTGACCAATAGTTTTTAAACTGAAAATACTTCATAAGTCGTCGTTGAATGTATGAATATTTATAAAAATACAAAGATAACACACCATATCGTTGTGTCCTTGCAAGCAAGACTTTCATTGAAGGAACGGCTATACCTGATCCAAATGACTCGCCGAGACTCTATTGCGAGGAAACGTGACACGCTATGTATATTTTTACCATGGCATATAGGAGTTTCCGTAGTTTGTAGTAGATTTTACATTTATTGTTGCATGAAACACATTTGATTTTCCATGATAACAGTTGATTTGAGAATACCTTACAATTAAGTATCATGGGATATCAGACGGAAGAACCTGCGATGTTTTGTGTGAGTGAGTGAGTGACTTTAGTTTTGCGCCGCTTTTAGCAATGTTCCAGCAATATCACGACGGGGGACACCAGAAATGGGCTTCACACATTGTACCCATGTGGGGAATAGAACCCGGGTCTACGGCGTGACGAGCTAACGCTTTAACCACTAGGCTACCCCACCGCCCCGTGATGTTTTGAATATTGAATGACGTCATCATCATGTCCTCGTATATGACGTTGTTCACGGCCGTTCACCAATCAGCCGAAAAATATAGGCGGACATCTTCATTTGTATATCGTATGTATTTTGTTTACGGCGAAAGTGAAAGTGAATCATTATGTTTTCTTAAATGGTAAACGTTTTATCCCCGCGTTGTTAAAATATTTTGGAAAGATGAGTGAGTGAGTTTAGTTTTACGCCGCACTGAGCAATATTCCAGCTATATGGCGTTGGTCTGTAAATAATCGTGTCTGCACCAGACAATCCTGTGCTCAACAGCATGAGCATCGATCTACACAATTGGGATACGATGACATGTGTCAACCAAGTCAGCGAGCCTGACCACCCCGATCCGTTATAGTCGCCTCTTACGGCAAGCATGGGTTACTGAAGATCTATTCTAACCTGGATCTTCACCGGTATTGGAAAGAAACAACTACTAATTACACTTTTGGTTGCACACTTTTAAGGTGCCCGTGGCCAATCATGATTTACAGCTACCCACTCCATGTTACCTTGATTACTTGGATCCTAAACATAATGGTATGGCTTGGAGGGGTGAATATGATTTGCATGGAGAAGCATGGACAATGTGAATGACCCCACCCCCACCGCCCCCCAAAAAACAACAACATTAAGTACAAAGTAAGTGACACCCTGCATGTCATATACAAACAAAATCAATCCCCCCCATAATTTGTAAGCATAGTGTTTTTAATATTCCAGTACATGTGTACAAAATTGATGCCCCCCACCTCCTCGGGACATAACGGGTTAAAATAACACAGCACCCACCCACCCCTAACATCATCACACCCCACCCCACACTCCACCCCCATCCCCGAGCCATAAGTTATGAACGGTCCCTTAAGATAATATGAAATATTAACGAAACAAAACAATTACTTATTAATCTGCTTATACATACTAATTATAGCCAAGTTGTTATTTAAAGCGTTCGCTCGTTACGCTGAATATCTGGGTCTGATTCCCCACATGGGTACAATGTGTGAAGCCTATTTCTGGTGTCCCCCAGCCGTGACATTGCTGGAATATTTATTGCTAAACACTATTATTTTTTATAGATTAAAACACCTACTGGATATGTATTTCACATTTATATATGAAACTTGTCTGTTCATCAAATCAGTTCAAGCTATGCTACGTCTGGTTCTTCAATGTTAGATTGACTGATTTTGTGATCCATGTTACTTTAATGCTTATGGAAAAAGCGATAATTTGTGATCAACCCGAATATCTGTTGAAAAAAGATGAACGGTAAACATTCTTTTTCAGGAGAAGGAAATTTTATATAAATTGATCTTGGCTCCGTAAAGGAAGGCAAAATATTTTCCTTACAGATATTTATAGAGGCTCCATAGCTCATGTTATACACAGACATAGGGGCAGTTTATTTTTACGTTATCCGTGCGGCAAAGGTCACGAGATATTTTCTACTCGAAGCGTATTATTTCCTTGATAAATGGTCTCCGAAATTCCAACCTACAAGAGTGTGCGTCTTTTGAATGTACGTCAATGTAGCGGTATGCTTTTATCGTCCATTCGTGAATGATGAGCACCTGTCGCCCAAAGGTGAAGGTCATCGTCGGCGGTCAAGGTCAGTAATGGGGGCTGGTCTGTGAGTGCGCGTGTCAGTTTAAACGCGTAAGCGTCATCAAATATACCAATGGCAATTTGACAACAGTTGCAAGCAGTACATTATTAACTAAACTTTCAAATTATAGTAACTACATGAGCAATGCTTTTCTTGTATTTTGTAGTTTCGCCGAGTAATGGCGATGGCCATTAGCTGGAATCATTGGGATATGTGATGTTTTGGGACAGACTGAAAGCTGTCGTTTTAAGTTCAGTGACTTTCGTCTTTGCTGTGGTGCCCCGGTCAACAATGGCGTGGAGATCGAGCGGTACCAGCAATTCCAACCTCGTAGACAACTTGCATGGTAAGCGAAATGCATCGACATCAATAGATGTGTTATTGTTTTGTTTTGTGTTCGACAAGCTTCTGTGACATTCCACACGAGCCTATGTGTGGAATGTTAGAAATAGCCTTCGTTTCATTTGATTATGATTTTTAAGAGCAGTTACATATTTTAGATGTTTGAAATTCACGATTGGACGCACTCCTGGTTGGTTAGAGAATATGTTTAATTTTGGTTATTTGGTTGTTTGATGTCATCAGTGTTATTATTCTGCTGATCATGCACAGATGCACATTATGCATTTTCGTTGGTGTTTAGATTATTAACATGAATGAGAATATATTTAGCCTTGTGTGGTTGTAGTAGTATGATTGTGCACTTGTATGTAACAGATTCAGTTGTTTGAATTATACCTGAGATAAATAAATATTGGGCACAACTTTACAATATGTTCACCAAATCTTTAATACACCAGTTGTAAAGTTCGAACATTTCATCCATAAAATTGTTATGCAAAACATGGTAGGAATTATTTAACATGTTTATCTTGGATTTTGAAATAACAAATGAGACATATAACATAATTTAGTAATGTGAAGAGGCAGTCACACTTACATCATGTTCCTACTAGTGTTGGGAATTGGTTGAAATCTTACAACTGATGATTGCTTCATTACCAACGAACAATCGTTGAAAAAAATTGGTAAGCGTCATTTTTCAGATTTTCCTACCCAGGTTGTTATTGCAGAAAAGTATAACATGATGCAACTTACTACTAATATATCATGAACATAAACTTCCTGGAGTCTTAGAGAAATAATCAGTCATGACTTTTCAGTTAACGAAGTGAGTTTTCTAAGAATAAAACATGTTTTCAGGCCCTGACAACTTCTAAGATATGTTCCATTGTCAAGTATTTCAAAGACTTAAACAGTAGTTCCAAAATCGTTTATTTTCGATCATGAGAAAATGTGATCGATTGCTTGGTTGTTTGGTCACTTCGACCAATCTTGCGATTATTTCAATTAATCGGAACACCACTACTTCCTGCCTGTTTTAAGTATGTTTGTATGCTTAGCTCCACATATCAATATATGCCTGTCGCCTTCATATGACTTTATGTTTCAAAACCCATGCCTTACACAATACGGCTAGGATTAGGCTAGGTGTAGTAGCAAACATATTGTTTGCTCTATTATTGTTTCACAACTGATGACGTGTGCATACCTAATCACAGAAATCATGTTGCGGTGGTTTGTAGGTTTATTTGTGTGACATGTGCAGAAGCTGGTAAATGAATTGTTGAAAAGTATTATATCTGGGAATTATTGAAGCTTGTACATGAAAGTATTAAATGTGTTTCTGAAAGCTTGTGCTGAGGGTCCTTAGCGTTGTCTTAAATTATATTCCAACTAATCTCATGATTTACTTCTATGTTATTTATGTCAAAATGTATTGCATTATAAGATTTCTCAAGTTTGTATTTCGACATGACAGAAGGGATTGACATTTCAGTAATTGGAAATGATAAGAAGGTGATGATGAGTCTTGAAAATGAAATGTCAAAGTACTTGTTTGTGGTGTATTTGGAACTACTGTGGGGCTAGGACTGATATCTACATCCACTTACGTGAATTTCTTTGCCTCGATCACGATCATAGCTGTTAGTGTCAAAAGTATTTGCTGGTCTGTATTCAAAATATTGTAAAAAGAAAGAAAAAAGATTTTATTTCACTGAGCACACTTATTACTTACCAGATCAGAATCAACAGTTAACAGTTTTGTATAAGTGTATTATTAAGAGTATTTAACTTTAGTAAAAATATTCAAACCACAGAACGATACGATGTTTATCTAGAAGAAATCAAAATGAATAAAAACATGTACATTTGCATATTTCTTTCATATTTTACTCCATCCAAATTAAGCAACATCCCACTGATAAATATCTTACAGTGCATTTATTTCACCCAGTTAGGTTTCAATACACTGATGTCTTGGTTCAACAATGCTAAGACAGTATTACTGTTTACCTTTGCCATCAGCAATGTACTGTTTACCTTTGCCATCAGCAATACTTAATATGTCCACCTGTGAAGCTGTGGGCTAGAATCAGACTTCAGCAACCAATGCTTGTCCCAACATCGAGTGACAATATGATGCTTGTCATCGTATGTCAGTTGCAAAGATCAATGGTGATTATGTCAATCACTGGATTGTCTCTTCCAGAGGATTGCCCTTTTATAGCTGAAATACTGCATTTGTTGAAACTGAAACACTGTTTACAGCTGACATGCCGTGGTGTACCTGAAACACTGTTTACAGCTGACATGCTGTGGTGTACCTGAAACACTGTTTACAGCTGACATGCTGTGGTATACCTGAAACACTGTTTACAGCTGACATGCTGTGGTGTACCTGAAACACTGTTTACAGCTGACATGCTGTGGTATACCTGAAACACTGTTTACAGCTGACATGCTGTGGTGTACCTGAAACACTGTTTACAGCTGACATGCTGTGGTGTACCTGAAACACTGTTTACAGCTGACATGCTGTGGTATACCTGAAACACTGTTTACAGCTGACATGCTGTGGTGTACCTGAAACACTGTTTACAGCTGACATGCTGTGGTGTACCTGAAACACTGTTTACAGCTGACATGCTGTGGTATACCTGAAACACTGTTTACAGCTGACATGCTGTGGTATACCTGAAACACTGTTTACAGCTGACATGCTGTGGTATACCTGAAACACTGTTTACACTGTCTTTACAGCTGACATGTGTACCTGAAACTGAAACACTGTTTATAGCTGACATGCTGTGGTGTACCTGAAACACTGTTTACAGCTGACATGCTGTGGTGTACCTGAAACACTGTTTACAGCTGACATGCTGTGGTGTACCTGAAACACTGTTTACAGCTGACATGCTGGGGTATACCTGAAACACTGTTTACAGCTGACATGCTGTGGTGTACCTGAAACACTGTTTACAGCTGACATGCTGTGGTGTACCTGAAACACTGTTTACAGCTGACATGCTGTGGTGTACCTGAAACACTGTTTACAGCTGACATGCTGTGGTATACCTGAAACACTGTTTACAGCTGACATGCCATGTGGTGTACCTGAAACACTGTTTACAGCTGACATGCTGTGGTGTACCTGAAACACTGTTTACAGCTGACATGCCGTGGTGTACCTGAAACACTGTTTACAGCTGACATGCTGTGGTGTACCTGAAACACTGTTTACAGCTGACATGCTGTGGTGTACCTGAAACACTGTTTACAGCTGACATGCTGGGGTATACCTGAAACACTGTTTACAGCTGACATGCTGTGGTGTACCTGAAACACTGTTTACAGCTGACATGCTGTGGTGTACCTGAAACACCGTTTACAGCTGACATGCTGTGGGTGTACCTGAAACACTGTTTACAGCTGACATGCTGTGGTGTACCTGAAACACTGTTTACAGCTGACATGCTGTGGTGTACCTGAAACACTGTTTACAGCTGACATGCTGTGGTATACCTGAAACACTGTTTACAGCTGACATGCTGTGGTGTACCTGAAACACTGTTTACAGCTGACATGCTGTGGTGTACCTGAAACACTGTTTACAGCTGACATGCTGTGGTATACCTGAAACACTGTTTACAGCTGACATGCTGTGGTGTACCTGAAACACTGTTTACAGCTGACATGCTGTGGTGTACCTGAAACACTGTTTACAGCTGACATGCTGTGGTGTACCTGAAACACTGTTTACAGCTGACATGCTGTGGTGTACCTGAAACACTGTTTACAGCTGACATGCTGTGGTGTACCTGAAACACTGTTTACAGCTGACATGCTGGGGTATGGTACCTGAAACACTGTTTACAGCTGACATGCTGTGGTGTACCTGAAACACTGTTTACAGCTGACATGCTGTGGTATACCTGAAACACTGTTTACAGCTGACATGCTGTGGTATACCTGAAACACTGTTTACAGCTGTCATGCCGTGGTGTACCTGAAACACTGTTTACAGCTGACATGCTGTGGTATACCTGAAACACTGTTTACAGCTGACATGCCGTGGTGTACCTGAAACACTGTTTACAGCTGACATGCTGTGGTGTACCTGAAACACTGTTTACAGCTGACATGCTGTGGTATACCTGAAACACTGTTTACAGCTGACATGCTGGGGTGTACCTGAATCACTGTTTACAGCTGACATGCTGGGGTGTACCTGAAACACTGTTTACAGCTGACATGCTGTGGTGTACCTGAAACACTTTCCACAGATGAATCAAACCTACCACGCTCTCACTCCTGCCCTCATTGTACAGACGGGTTCACAATTTCTGTACATCAGTGTATATAATATTTCAGTAAGGGGCAGTTTCAGTTTTTGTTGACAATAGGCACCTTGAATATGATGTGAAATGTGAAGATCCCACTTCTTTTTGTCATGTAGCATAGTTCGACTGTTTCAGCGAATGGCATAATCAAATCTCCACAAGTTGTTCAAGTCATGAAGGCTGTAGATCGAGTACACTTCTGCAAGTTCAACCCGTACAATGACTCGCCCCAGAGTATAGGATACGCTGTAACAATTAGTGCACCCCACATGGTAAGTAATTATCATATCAGTAAAGAATATCATGATTGTTCTGGGATGGTAAATGTCCTGACTTAGAAATATTTAGCAAGCCTTGTTCCAACAGAAACTTACTTTTTGTGTGGCATAAGTACAACATGGATTGAAAGACAGATTACTACATGTAATATGTTCATAGTAATATTTTTTAAAGCAGTGTTACTGATTATGTTTTGCTTCAATCAATTGGTCTGTCTCCTCGAATATTTGTCCTTTTTCAAAGGGAAGCTACTCCTATTCTATGAAATGCCTCGTGTATTTAGAGTCTGCCGTGTCCACTCTTGCGGTAATGTTATGGACACACCATGACCTAAAGTTAAAATAGCAGACATATTCCGTCCAAATCCAGGGAAAAGAGCCTGAAGACAGGAACTGATCTGACATGAGTACCTGCTAACATTGCATCACAATATTATGTCTCATATATTGCGTGCACTTGAAAAAAAGCCTCAGCTACACCCTTGTTAAACAACTTTGTTTGATATCGTAGACTTATTTTGATGACAACAATTATCCCTGTAATTTGTAATTGTAATACAGAAAGGCCACATTTGTTTCTAGACACTGAAAGTAGTACCCAACAGAAACTCTTTTTATTTCAGGCTCAATTCCAATATGGCTGCTTTGCAGCCTATATGTTTCTTACCTTCAATATCCCATCTTTGCTATCAGAAATTTGGAAACAAATGTTTCAGGGTTGTGATTCACCTGCAGAAAGGGTGAGAATATGGACTTATTAATAAATGTATATGTTGTAAGTCTATGCTAAAGTTTGAGATTTATACCTGAGATTATCGTAGCGCTACAAATGGTTTGTGGAATAGGACTATTTAATTAATTATCTTTCATATTGTCAGGGATGCTTACACCTTTCTGTTTTTGAAAGATTGCTGAGAACCATGGTAAGTTCATTGTGATACTACTATGCTGCTGGTGATGAGCTTCTCTCTTGTACATGCCAGCATGCACATGCCCTGGAGCTGCTGTCGGAGAACCTGAAGGAGGGTGGGCGTGCCCTGGACGTGGGATCAGGCAGTGGCTACCTCACAGCTTGCATGGCACTTATGGTAGGCAGATGGGGGCAGGAGATGTGTCCTCCTTCACACATGCTCAGTGTAAAAGCCAAAGGGGAAAGGGTGGTCAATATTGGTTATCACGCGAGTGTTTTGGGATGGTTAATATCCTGCATTAGGAATAAACATTGTTAACCATCCCAAAACACACGAGTGTGATAACCTATTTTATCATACAATGTCATACTTACTTTATAGGGGCGGTGGGGTAGCCTAATGGTTTAGCGTTGGCTCGTCACGCTGAAGACCCAGGTTCGATTCCCCACATGGGCACAATGCGTGAAGCCCATTTCTGGTGTACCCCGCAGTGATATTGCTGGAATATTGCTAAAAGTGGTGTAAAACCATACACACTCACTCACTTTTACTTTATAATTTAAAAAAAATGTTTCAATTGCCACAAATCATGACACTAAACTTCGTGGAATGTGCATAGATATCTATGACATCACAAATATGTGCGTAATAATATGTTACGTCACGCGCGCAGTGACACAATTTTCTTCTGATCACTCAAATGACTGCGTTAGGTCATCTAGTTCTCAGTTTTTTATGTAAAAGCTTGTATTGTTGTCAACAAATCTTTTGAAAAATTACTACAAACTCGTGTGGATCTTCAGAAACCTTCAATTAACCTTTTGAACAACAAATACACTTAAACGTTCGGCGGACATTCCGCATCTGGATTCCTGTGCCGTACACTCGCTAACACTGACAGTCATTCGGGGAACTGGTGTTGGTATCTTCGTAAGCCTATGAATTTCTGTCTTCGCAATCCTCTTCATCTATCATACCCAGACATGAATGGTCTTGGATCAAAGCACTGACAGTACCGTAACCACGGCCGTCAATCCGGACGCGATAGCTGACACGTGACGCCATGTTTCTTTACACTGTAAAATTAGTCCCTAAAATATGCATATGCCCTCTGTAATTTGCATCGATATCCGTATATGACCCCAACGGATACCGAAAATATCTGTTGGCTTTATCCTGCCGAGAACGCTATCCACTGTATGATAAAACAGGATATTCTTAGCTGTGGCAGGATCTTGTGAGTGAACGCTTTATGGGTGTGCCAACACCATGTCTATGCTGGAGGGTTTCACCAAGGCATGGCAGCAAACAACCTTGTCCTTTGGCATCTGCGACATAGCCATGGTATAACTGAGATACTTCTCACTCACCCAAAATCACAGGTTTATCTTGTCTAAGCTTGTTACAGACTGCAATGATTATGTTGTTTGTTAGGTGGGCTGGTTACATGAAAACAATATTCGCTCATTCTGTGTTGATAGTCAGGTGGGCTGGTTACATGAAGACAACATTAGCTCATTCTGTGTTGATAGTCAGGTGGGCTGGTTACATGAAACCAATATTCGCTCATTCTGTGTTGATAGTCAGGTGGGCTGGTTACATGAAGACAACATTAGCTCATTCTGTGTTGATAGTTAGGATGGGTGGGTTGGTTACATGAAGACAACATTAGCTCATTCTGTGTTGATAGTCAGGTGGGCTGGTTACATGAAGACAACATTAGCTCATTCTGTGTTGATAGTCAGGTGGGCTGGTTACATGAAGACAACATTAGCTCATTCTGTGTTGATAGTTAGGTGGGCTGGTTACATGAAGACAACATTAGCTCATTCTGTGTTGATAGTTAGGTGGGCTGGTTACATGAAGACAACATTAGCTCATTCTGTGTTGATAGTTAGGTGGGCTGGCTACATGAAGACAACATTACGTCATTCTGTGTTGATAGTCAGGTGGGCTGGTTACATGAAGACAACATTAGCTCATTCTGTGTTGATAGTCAGGTGGGCTGGTTACATGAAGACAATATTAGCTCATTCTGTGTTGATAGTCAGGTGGGCTGGTTACATGAAGACAACATTAGCTCATTCTGTGTTGATAGTTAGGTGGGCTGGTTACATGAAGACAACATTAGCTCATTCTGTGTTGATAGTCAGGTGGGCTGGTTACATGAAGACAACATTAGCTCATTCTGTGTTGATAGTCAGGTGGGCTGGTTACATGAAGACAATATTAGCTCATTCTGTGTTGATAGTCAGGTGGGCTGGTTACATGAAGACAATATTAGCTCATTCTGTGTTGATAGTCAGGTGGGCTGGTTACATGAAGACAACATTAGCTCATTCTGTGTTGATAGTCAGGTGGGCTGGTTACATGAAGACAACATTAGCTCATTCTGTGTTGATAGTCAGGTGGGCTGGTTACATGAAAACAATATTAGCTCATTCTGTGTTGATAGTTAGGTGGGCTGGTTACATGAAGACAACATTAGCTCATTCTGTGTTGATAGTCAGGTTGGCTGGTTACATGAAGACAACATTAGCTCATTCTGTGTTGATAGTCTGGTGGGCTGGTTACATGAAGACAACATTAGCTCATTCTGTGTTGATAGTCAGGTGGGCTGGTTACATGAAGACAACATTACGTCATTCTGTGTTGATAGTCAGGTGGGCTGTTTACATGAAGACAACATTATCTCATTCTGTGTTGATAGTTAGGTGGGCTGGTAACATGAAGACAACATTAGCTCTCATTCTGTGTTGATAGTCAGGTGGGCTGGTTACATTGAGTGATTGAGTTATATTTCTAGACACATTGGCAGTATTTCAGCCTAGTATTGACTAACACAAGTTATACATTCATGACACATAAACTTGAAAAATATAAAAAACCTGTTGACGAACTACATTAAAACGACCAGAAATTCACAGACACAGATGTAAACCTAGCATGTAAATCTAAAACATAGACAATGATTTTTATGGTGTGAAAAAGAAACAGGAAAACTATTATATGCCTTAGCTAAATACTTGAAACAAGCTTCTAAAGATCTTGGTATGTCTTCTAACAATAGTGTCCTTTGACAGGAAAATGTGTCATAATCATGTAGGATTAGAGTCAGACGTGCAATTGTTAAACTGAAACTAGTAATTATCAATGTGACTACATACAGGAACGTGTCTATATGAATGGTTTGCCCGCCGTGTTGACTGTATTGCACCTGTTGTCTGTAGGTGGGGGAGAAGGGTGTGGCTGTGGGTATTGACCACATCGATGAGCTTATCCAGATGGCTACCACCAATGTCAGGAAGGACAAGAGCCTGGGGAAACTTCTGGATAGAGGTCAGCTGAAACTTGTTCTGGGTGATGGCAGACTAGGCTATGAGGAGGATGCACCCTTTGATGCTATACATGTGGGAGCTGCAGCCCCGGAGCTGCCCCAGGCGGTGAGTCAATACACTTGTTGACCGGACGGTATTTGTCTTCCATACACCTGCATGTACCTGTCTACAGACAGTCCTGTATATCAGTACACCTGCATGTACCTGTCTACAGACAGTCCTGTACTTCACTACATCTGCATGTACCTGTCTACAGACAGTCCTGTCTTCCTCACACCTGCATGTACATGTCTACAGACAGTCCTGTACTTCACTACATCTGCATGTACCTGTCTACAGACAGTCCTGTCTTCCTCACACCTGCATGTACCTGTCTACAGACAGTCCTGTATTTCACTACACCTACATGTACCTGTCTACAGACAGTCCTGTACTTCACTACACCTGCATGTACCTGTCTGCAGAAAGTCCTGTTTTTGTCTTCTTCACACTTGCATGCACCTGTGAGTAGACAGTCATGCACTAGTCCTACATTGACCTTTCTTCAGGAGGACTTGTAACTGTCTGCCACACACCTGCATGTGCCAGTCTGTACACAGTCCTTTAATTACTTCCACACACCCTTATATTACCCATCAGTAGAATGTCAGTCCTACACACCTGTTGCTTACCACTTTCTAAACTGCTACCACTTTACACCCATTCAGTGATTCAAAGTCAGGATGGGTTCCCAATACCTTTAGCTTGTTATAAGAGACAGCTAGAATAGGGAGGGTAGTAAGTGTGCTTGATGTGGCTGATTGCATGTTGTTAGATTGGGGCTCATGCTTTCAGCTACAGTGTGCAGTGATGTTGCCAGAATTTGCTGACCTCAGTAATAGACATTCAACCACTCACACTGCTCACTATAACCATCGAATGAGTGTAGGTCTCTGAATTCTTGCAGTTGGTGGATCAGCTGAAACCAGGAGGACGGCTGATCATCCCAGTTGGAGGTCAAGGAGAGAACCAGAAGCTGATGCAGATTGACAAGACCCTTGATGGCCAGGTGGTCAGGAAGAACCTGATGGGAGTCATCTATGTGCCGCTGACCAGCAAGGACAAGCAGTGGCCCAGGTGGAGATAGTAGCAGCATGTACTAGCATGGGGCACACAGCACAGGTGCTTGCTGAGGGAAATGTAGCATACCAGCATGGTGCACACAGCACAGGTGCATGCTTCTGGTAACACAGCTTACTAGCATGGGCCACACAGCACAGGTGCATGCTTAGGGTAACACAGCATACAAACCTCGGGCACACAGCACAGGTGCTTGCTTAGGGTAACAGCATACTAACTTCGGGCACACAGCACAGGTGCATGCTTAGGGTAACATAGCATACTAACCTCGGGCACACAGCACAGGTGCTTGCTTAGGGTAACACAGCATACTAACCTCGGGCACACAGCACAGGTGCTTGGTTAGGGTAACACAGCATACTAACCTTGGGGCACACAGCACAGGTGCTTGCTTAGGGTAACACAGCATACTAACCTCGGGCACACAGCACAGGTGCTTGGTTAGGGTAACATAGCTTACTAACTTGGGGCACACAGCACAGGTGCTTGGTTAGAGTAACATAGCATACTAACTTGGGGCACACAGCACAGGTGCTTGCTTAGGGTAACAGCATACTAACTTCGGGTACACAGCACAGGTGCTTGCTTAGGGTAACAGCATACTAACCTCGGGCACACAGTACAGGTGCTTGCTTAGGGTAACAGCACATACTAACTTCGGGCACACAGCACAGGTGCTTGCTTAGGGTAACAGCATACTAACTTCGGGCACACAGCACAGGTGCTTGGTTAGGGTAACACAGCATACTAACCTCGGGCACACAGTACAGGTGCTTGCTTAGGATAACAGCATACTAACCTTGGGCACACAGCACAGGTGCTTGCTTAGGGTAACAGCATACTAACTTGGGGCACACAGCACAGGTGCTTGCTTAGGGTAACAGCATACTAACTTTGGGCACACAGCACAGGTGCTTGCTTCTGGTAACACAGCATACTAACCTTTTTGGCACACAGCACAGGTGCTTGCTTAGGGTAACAGCATACTAACTTCGGGCACACAGCACAGGTGCTTGATTAGGGTAACAGCATACTAGTGAGTGAGTGAGTTAAGGTTTTAAGTCACATTGGCAATATTTCAGCCATATTGTGACTAACAGCATACTAACTTGGGGCACACAGCACAGGTGCATGCTTCTGGTAACACAGCATACTAACTTGGTGCACACAGCGCAGGTGCTTGGTTAGGGTAACACAACATACTAACTTGGGGCACACGGCACAGGTGCTTGGTTAGGGTAACATAGCTTACTAACTTGGGGCACACAGCACAGGTGCTTTGTTAGGGTAACACAGCTTACTAACTTGGGGCACACAGCACAGGTGCTTGCTTAGGGTAACACAGCATACTAACCTCGGGCACACAGCACAGGTGCTTGCTTAGGGTAACAGCATACTAACTTGGGGCACACAGCACAGGTGCTTGGTTAGGGTAACACAGCATACTAACTTGGGGCACACAGCACCGTTGCTTGCTTCTGTTAACACAGCATAAAAATTGTGAGTTCCCAAGTTTTGCTTCAAGGCAGGTAAACGGCAACATCAGATTGTCTTGATGAGCAAGTTCCTTTCTTCATTGCCCACAGCACAGATCAGAAAAAACACAGCACAAGTACTTGCATTGGGGCATAAATCACAGTGGCACACAGGCGCGTAGCAAGCCAATTTTTTTGTGTAAGCCTGATAGGTTGCACCTAAAAGCCCTCAGAATGACTACAGAATGAAGTAACGCTTACGTTTTCGTTGTACATACCTGCATTTCAGTTATGATTCACATATAATTACGACTGTAGCAAAACATTCACATACATGTCGATGGAAAAACAATCATCACTGAAAGAAAAACACTTCAAATTTATATACGAAGAATGACACTGACTGACTGACTGAGTATGGTTTTACGCCGTTTTTAGCAATATTCCAGCAATATCACGGCGGAGGACACCAGAAATGGGCTTCACACATTGTACCCATGTGGGGAATCGAAACCCGGTCCTTTGAAGCGTGACGAGAGAATGCTTTAACCACTAGGCTACCCCACCGCCCCGAAGAATAACATGCAAGTCAAAACATTGATTACACAACAGTCTCGTTTCCTGTTCACAGTGTTCCGTCCTATTGTGCAACTTAGTACAATAACCAGCCCAGAATTTTGAGACCAATTCATTCAACTGGATACATAAATATTAATCAGTATTATTTGATACATCTAAGCACTTGTATATTGCACCACTATGCTCCTTATAATCCTTGCAAACATGTCGTGCAGCGTGCTCTGTCATACAGCGAGCACTAACAAACAGAAACCTGGCAATCTCAAAACGAGGCTCTGTCGCTAGAAAAGTTTGGCAGTCTGGTACGGACTTGATATTATATCAATCACATTGTGCGTTACAGAACTACACTGAAAAAGCGCAAAAAAACACATAACAGGTGTAACCAGTGAGCCAGATGCTTTGTGAATCATTTTACGACCTCATCAAACTGGGGGCAGTCTGTGACGTCTTGGTTAAGGCCATGCTGCCTACACATCGCCATAAAATGTAGAAATACGATGTTATTAAAGTTTAAAATTAAAATTCATCTGTACATAGTATTTTCTTATGAAACAAGGAATTGGAATTCAGTGTAACCATAGTTGTCTATTTTCACTTTCACACGAGAAAAAATCGGATTGGCTGAAAAGTAGGTCATTGTCTGAATAGGTTAATGAGACTCATGTTTCGGTTTGTTACTGTATTGATAATGCTTTGTTATCAAAGAATATTGTAGTCAATATGATTCATGGAGGGACTACTATTTTTTTTAATTGTTCTGATAACGTATTTGGCAGAATTAGAAACAAAATATTTTAGCAAAAATCATGTGTAAGCCCGGGCTTTTTTCTATAATGGGAGCTACGCCCCTGGCACAGGTGCATGTATAGGGGCACACATCACAGGTGTTTTCCCTTCAGTGTCAGGTGGTGATTGTGTAAGGTCTCCCCGTCATTTGTCAGGTGGTGCTGGAATAGCTGGTGCCCCTCAGTGAATAGAGTCAGAACATAGGGTCTGTTATTTGGCAGTCTAGGAAGTCCATTATGTCTGTATATGTGCCAGTGTAAGTACATTGTACCAAATCAGTCTAGAACACTGGGCTTCAGTGTAACAGCTTTGTATTGGTGATGGTGTTTTAAATAACAAAACATAACACTGACCTATTTTTATCAAAATTGTTTTAATAGTTGTGAATATGGAACTTAGGATAAATCTAAGGTTGGCTTGAAGTGTTCAATATTTGTTTGTGAAATGTGCCTAAAGACAAACAGAATCACAACTGATTGATACAGATTGTGGTTATGTGTAAAACATAAGGTTGGTATTGTGAAAATTGGTGTCACACGTGAAAAAAAATAGTCCACATGTATATGTTGGTTTTATGTAAAATCCAATCAAGACCTATGTTGGTATTGTGAAGATTGGTGCCACACATGTAAAACCCAATCAATACATAGGTTGGTGTGATGCTGAATGTGTAACAGATAGTTTTGAATGATGTCAAATGGTTTTCCTGATACTGAAGTACTGAAGATAATAATCATTGCAGATTATTCTATTTCTTTGTTGTACAAGTTGTTCACTAAAATATAGTGGTGAAAAGCTGGCGCTGTACATAGCCTCTTTGCCCTGCTGCATACATAAGACATGCCTTACAATGAATACCTGAAGGGAGACAACTCCAACCAACTTTGCATGTTGTAGTTTTGTGGTTGAGCTTTGACTGATGCAAGGTCTGTTGTCTTTTTGTGTAGGTACAGTCAGTGCTGTCTGTTGTAAGGGGAGCTCTAGTAGGTACGATCTAGTTGCCACTTGCAGAAACTTACTGTCTAACACAGTGGTGTAACTGTTTTTCGAAGTATCTCAGTTGTCATTCCCAATAATCAAAGTGAAAACTAATTTAGGGAAGATACTTTAACTACATCTTGAAAGAAAACACCACTTTGTCGTAGACTGTATTTTTGTTTATCTAACATGTCACCATTTTAGTATGATAAATACCCTGCAAGACACAAATGCTCAATAATATCTGTGGAATCAAATTACACCTTTCTTCCATGATGGCAACAGGCAGCAACATCCCCAGACCCATGTTGCCTTGTTGCATATGGTTACATACTGAAAATGGAAGCATAAGAACTTTCCTTCCCTATATTTTGAACCGCTCATATTCTGATTCAATTCTACATCGGGAGCTCTCTCCTACAATTTTGAATGTCCATATTTGATGATCTAATGTTAAGAAGTGGCTCTGTAGATAGTTCTCAACTTCAAGCCAATACGGATTGTGAATGAAACCGTCAAAGCGTAATATTTTTATTTACCCAACTGATCACGTTACATATTATATATTCATACTGTAAAATGTTTCTGTACAACCGAGGGTGGTTTGTGGGAATAAAAGAAATTGAATTGAATACACTGAGAGAGATGGAGTGATGTTGCATCTGAAATGGGCCCAGGAGTCAGGGTATTATCATGCTGGAGATGGGCACTGGATAACTGAGGATTTGTTATTTGCAGAAACTGGAATGAACTGTTTCTGTTTAGCAGTATGGAGACTATCAACAACCGATGTAGTGGCCAACCCCAGACTATACCTTCTGTATCTTATGTTTCAGACCCAAGCCAGAGCTGTGAGTACAAGGAGCCATGCCCATGACCGCAGTTCGAGTTTCAGTGATAGTCTCCAACTGTCTAATCTTGCTGACCTTCATGCTTATCTGACAGCCTTGACCTTGATGTGATGAGGTCGGCACTAAAGTCAGTGTGGTCTTACCATACAGTAGTCACCACGGCAACTGTAGAGCTACATGCCAGCTGAAACAATGTTTCTCACCTGACTGTAATTGTGTTGATTTGTTTTAACCACTGTTCCCCCCCCCCGAGTTACGTTTTACGGTTAACATTAATTCTGATACATGTACCACACTGAGCTTATTACTTGTTACAGTGAAAGATACATTGTATAGTTTTGTTCTTTATCTTAGTGTAGACCTGCAGTGCACTTCAGCATATTTCATGTTATATTTTGTGTACAGGTGAGAGTGGGACAGTTAAGTCCTCTTTATGCTGATCATCCCCAACCCAAGCACCCTGTCCGTAGTGCAGGCAGACCACAAATGTAGGAACCAGGCTAGTAGCCTGCTCCACTATATCAGATCTCTTCTGGCAACTTCAATAGACGTGCCAAGGTAACTGTTGGTCTGCTCTGAACCCTTCACTTCCAACCTTGTGTGTTTCGGTGAGAAACAGGTGATGTGTCCAGGTGTACATATGTCACTATGCCAAGTGTATATATATGTCGCTGACTGCCGGAGAGGGGTGTATATTTCATGCAGCTGTCAGCTGGAATGGTGTCATTTGCACAGGTAGTCTGTCACTGTTGTCATAATATATAAAGGTGACTCACATTTCAAAATGGAAAGTTTAGCACCAAGCCCTCTTTTCAGTTTCAAATGTTTTCTTAATCATTGAAATGTTTGGATCACAATGGAGTAAAAGAATATCAATTGAGAAGTCAATCTCTTGATAATAGTCTGTAGTATATAGTATTGTCTAAATGGGCAGTTATTTATATCATCTCTGAACACCACTCACTGTTGCTGATGCTGCTACTAGACCTAAAACCTAACTGGTCAATTTCCTGTTCTTTGCAAAGGCTATAGTGGACTGTTACCAACCTCAGCTGATTAGAGCAAACTGTCCAGCTCCATTTTTGTGCTTGTTTTGTAACAGTTTTGTACATATTTGCTCAATAAAATGCTTAAAATAGCCCCCATGTTTATCATTATATTAATTAAACATTTCTTAAATTTGAAGGCACTAAACTGAATTTGACATAAAAAATATTTTCCAGGTTTGAGTAGTTTGAAGTACAGCTAAGTACTGCATGTCCTCATGGGCTGTACAACACAGGTTACTGCATTCCCAGTTAAACAGATCACACCACATCACATCCTCTCCTAAGGATTATCTGAAGGCGTCATGACTTCCAAATAACAAAGACTTCCACTCTGGCCTTCTGCTGGTTTCACATCTTCGTTGTTAAGGGAACAAAAACACTAATTACAAAATACTTTTTATTTCTGGGAAAGAAACAAATATCACAGACAACAGTGAAAGAGACTGATGTCACCCTACACACAATCAAATATTTTTCTACGTTAAAACTGAAATTAACTGGGTACAGGTTTGGTAAATATGTGGTAAACTTTCTTTGCATGAAAAACATGATTTCCAGTGCTACTCCAGATATCCACATAATTCCCAACAATGTGTCATTCTACAGCAGTTGGAAACCATACCCCGAAACACAGTGCAAACAAAGCTTTCCACCTGTAAATATCACACACAACATGTGGGCAAGACAAACTGAAAGACACAAGAAATACATCTCAGGTACTGCAAACTATCATGCTTTTTAGGTATCTTATTGAATAATCCAATCATATCTGATTCTGACATTCTGAAATATGAATTAAAGTTGTCCACTCAACAACAAACATGACTATATATTCATTGATATAGGGGGAAATCTACACTGAATGTCAAACATCTGTCATTACCCTATGGAATGTACAGCATTGGCATGACCACTGAAATATAGGCCTACTAAACCTTGTAAATGTAGTTCTCAACCACCTAATGAGTCTTCCTCTCTTCTTTTTCTTGTGTGAACAAAATAAAGCACAGCTGAAGGCTGTTCAGTGTGTTGTCCAGTATGTAGGGAATACTCTCAAACTAATGTACCAGTACATAAATACACTGCATAAAGTTGTAGCATAAAAGAACACATGTGATAACATATTGTAAGGACAGTGGGGTAGTGCTTCATACCAATCAATGTAAGATGGCTAAGGTTTTATGCTGCTTCATCAACAGCTATTAACTATTATTACTTTAATTCTGAACCTGATTGATATATTTAATGATTCATAAATTCAATTTTCTTTCATCACTGCTGTAATTGTAAGTAGAGTTGTGTCCCCTCAACTCCCATCAGTACCCTGTTATCATGGTTGTGCTGAAGTTTCTGATATACCATGTCACAGAAACATATACAATTGATCAGAACCTGCTTGCAGAAACTGGGCTCTCTTTACCATCTCTCAACAGAGGTGAAATGGAGAGGAGTGGACTCTGTCCCTATACCATGAAGATAGGGTTCATACACCGGATAAGGATGTTTGTGATGAAGATATGGATCAGTCCACATCTACACCTGTTACATAGAATCATTTGTCACTATGATCTAGTAAGTAATGTGATGTACATGCTATGTACAATGTTACATTTAAACTTAAAGACATTGCAGCTGATTAGTAAACATATACTTGTACACCTTTGTCAAACATGAAAGTACTATTAAAGAGTAACAGCCTCCACAACCATGCTGACATTAAACATACATAATCATGATGACTATTGATTTGTTACCATTTCATTTTAAACATTTCCTAAAAGTTCAATTTCTTTGATTTGCAATCTGAAGTGCACAGATTTCACAAGGTAACATGAATAAACATATTAAATACTCTGTTCAACAAGATGACAACAAAGTGTATAAATATAAATGTAGAACTATATAGTCAGAAACTTGGCATACATAAACAGTTGATTGCAGGTGATAAATGAGTTCTTTTCATTATAATTTGATTTAACATGATCAAATCAACAGTGGTAAGTATAAGGAAACTCAGGGATTAACAAAGGTATATAGATTTCTGTTTTCATGGCATCAACATTTGAGCAAACGAAATAAAATGGAATGTATAAACATATTTTTGATTACATGTTTGGTGTTTTTGCTGGCTGCTGTATACAACCTTCACAAGTTTATGATGATCACTATCTAGCTGGAATACGTGGTAACAAACAAAGAGAACCACACAAATATTTACAACGACATCCAATACAAATAACGCTACCATAAAACATATCACAAGAACAGTGAAGAATAAAGCCAACCTACTTCCTCACAAGTGAATACACTCCTCACAACAGAGGTAACCTGTCCTCACTTGAATGTTTTGGTCAAATATCACAATGAGTACACCTGCGGTAAATGCTTATTTGTTGCCTAAATGCACACTGATGTGGAGGGCTGCAGCATCAAGTGGAGATGGACAAGCAGGAGAAACAGGTAACAAAATCTGATTGCATCATAACTAGCAGTGCATATCTATATCTTTAATGTAATAAGAAAAGAAACATTTGTATGTAAGAACAGCTGTCATATTAAACTGAGTATTTGTCCTTTCATTTAATGGTCACAGTAATTGCCATTTTAAAATCAGAAAAAACATATGCCAATGGATTTCTAACGTCAAGATACACTTCACACTTAAAGCTGATGTAAAAGTAAGAAATGGGAGTATAAAAAGGTATCATGTGTCCCTTTGGAATGTCACTTTAAGAGTAAGGGAGTGAAGTGCCAATGTTATAGTATTTGAAGATTAAATGTACATGACCCTTTAGTCCATGGTGGGAATTATTGAATCAAAACAGATCAGAGAAACATATTTTGAGATCATTTAAATGCTGGAAGTGACATAATAAATATCAAAAAGCTCAATGAAGGAATGTTTCATTTTTCTATCTTAATTTGACTTTTGTAACCTGGCAAAAAGTTCATTCTTTGTTTGATACACAAGTACAATGATGTTCGTAATATGACACTTACACACTATTTGTCTCAACAATCTCAAATTAAAAGTAAATATTTTTACAAGTACATCCCATTTATGAGATAGTCGGCCTCATTGGAATGTAGGGGTCGTCCTTTCCGTAATCTCCGCCGCACATTTCTGAGCCTGCATCCAACAAACACCAGCAATATGACTGTTATGGCCAGACCAAGTGACAGAGCAACTATAGGTCCCTGAGCATTGTCTGTTGGGCTAGCTACAATGACTTTTTCCTTGGTGAGAAATACTGTCTCCTGTTCTTCATCCACAACATTCACAGCTGGATGTTGCACTGGTGTAGAAGCTGCTTTCACATTCTTGTCACCGACTGGCTTCAATGCAGTGATGCTCTTAGTAGGAGACAGTGTCTTGTCATCCTTAGATTTGTCTTTAGATTCAGTTGGTTCCTTTTTGATGTCTGTCTCTTGGGTATCTTTGTTGCTTTGGCTGTGATTGGACACCTGCTTGTCATCTTTGTCTTGACTGGTTGGCTTTTTCTCTGCCTTAACCATGTTAGTGGACACTGCTGCATCAGTTTTAGCCTCTGATGACTGGGATGTGGCATCTGAAAAAGACCAGAGGGAACAACTGATTGTTATTCAGTCTCCAGCCCCACTTCCTGAGGGATGCATCTTTGCACATTAGCACTACCATCTCAGAATTTACCAACACAATAGGGATACACGGAAATATATATCAAAACAAACCTGTACTTTTACTGCCTTGTTGGGTTTGTTTGTCTTCATTGACAACTGCTAAGTTGTTGGAATTGTCAGTGTCAGAATCTTGAGTTGATCCAACCTGTTCATCTGGCATGTCTGTAAAATCAAAACAGGTGTCTTCACATGACATTTACAACTTTCACACAAAGCTCACCTCTCAGCAAATTCTTACTTGAAACAGAGAAACCTACAAGCATGTTCTCACATTCACACAAATCTCACCTAACCAGGATACCCTCAAACAAAAAGAACTCTTGCCTTCTGGTACATTCTCACATGAAACATGGTTGTTGCCTTCTGGTACATTCTCACATGAAACATGGTTGTTGCCTTTTGGTACATTCTCACATGAAACATGGTTGTTGCCTTTTGGTACATTCTCACATGAAACATGGTTGTTGCCTTTTGGTACATTCTCACATGAAACATGGTTGTCGCCTTCTGGTACATTCTCACATGAAACATGGTTGTTGCCTTCGGGCACATTCTAACATGAAACATGGTTGTCGCCTTCTAGTACATTCTCACATGAAACATTGTTGTCACCTTCGGGCACATTCTCACGAAACATGGTTGTCGCCTTCCGGCACATTCTCACATGAAACATGGTTGTCACCTTTGGGCACATTCTCACTTGGAACATGGTTGTCACATTCGGGCACATTCTCACATGAAACATGGTCGTTGCCTTCTGGTACATTCTCACATGAAACATGGTTGTTGCCTTCTGGTACATTCTCACATGAAACATGGTTGTCACCTTTAGGCACATTCTCACATGAAACATGGTTGTTGCCTTCTGGTACATTCTCACATGAAACATGGTTGTCACCTTTAGGCACATTCTCACATGAAACATGGTTGTCACCTTTAGGCACATTCTCACATGAAACATGGTCGTTGCCTTCTGGCACATTCTCACATAAAACATGGTTGTTGCCTTCTGGCACATTCTCACATGAAACATGGTTGTAGCCTTCTGGCACATTCTCACATGAAACATGGTTGTCACCTTCGGGCACATTCTCACATGAAACATGGTTGTCACCTTCGGGCACATTCTCACATGAAACATGGTTGTCACCTTCTGGTACATTCTCACATGACATATGGTTGTTGCCTTCTGGTACATTCTCACATGACACATGGTTGTTGCCTTCGGGTACATTCTCACATGAAACACACATTTCACCTCCGAACACATTCTCAAATGAAACCTGCTTATTGTCTTCTTGTAGGTTCTCATATGAAACACACATCTCACCTCCCACTACAAACACAATACAATTGACATACCTTGGGAGGGTACCATGTCCGGGGGGCTGTTCCCATCATGATAGTCTGCAAATGCAACAATGAACATTGCAGGAAAATGTACTTATTTCAGATTCTTTTTCAATCACAAGACATTTATTTGCTAGGATGTGACAAAGTATTGAGGGATGGAGTTGGATGGCACATTTACGTTCATGTGTTCACATGGTTAACTCTTTCACTATCAGTCAAGGTAAAGCTTTTACTGCTATCACACTGAGTTCCCAGAGGCTCTAACAAACCAACAGTTATCAAGGAAAATATCATCCAGAAAATACTGCTGTTTATATATGTGTATATATTATATATTATATATATGCAAGTGGGTCACATTATTTTAATAATGCATTTAACTGAATTAAGTTACTTTTAATATAAATCTGAGACAACATATTCATATTTTCATTCAACAATGGATAAGGTCCTTATGTATGACATTTACATTCTGGTCAGAAATCAAGCTATCTGGAAAGTTTTAACGGTGATATTTTGGTGGACACATGTACCAGGCTAGAAGTTGTGTCAAAGATATTGCATGCATATATTTTGGCATTAAACATTGAAGACAGGTCTGAAAATTGAGACAACAAATGCCAATATGACATCTGACTTACATTACAAAACATACAAATAGTATCATATTTTTAGAAATACGTTTGTTGATTTTCTTTCTTTCTTTATATAAATCAGTTAAAGATTTGCTTGAAATGTCTTTATAATGCTCTTTGCCACATACACATAGACCCATTTGTACCTGAAAGATTATGTCAATAAAATATGATAAAGTGAAAACACTCTTTCAGATATTGTGGAAAGTATTACAAATTGCCAAATAAGACAGGTAGTTCTGTGAAACTATAATGTTTTATGTGGCTACATCAGTGAAACTATTGGATACCCTCTGACCAGCCAGCAGTTGTAAGAGAACAAAGTGCCGTGAAACAACATCTGTTATGACACAGGAGATGACGCTGGATGAGAAGTGTGTCACATCAAGTACAACAGAGTACAACACTGACAACTGGAGTGGACGATGGGCAGAAGAAAAAAACTCACATGTGACATTCAGAAGAAGCGAGTGAGATTACAGCAAAACACAACGATAATGTCAAAGAGGATTTTCATATGAACTACATTTTTACCACAAATTATAAAACAATGCAGTTTGTTTATCTGTACTAAAACTATTCACAAATACAGCATAGGATAGGATACTGTCTGCAACTGAAAGGAAAACGATGTGACAGAAGGAACTGAAGAGTATACTGCAACAAAATGAAGACTACAACACATGCTGGTGGTTCCAGTGAGCACAACAACGATAGAGTACCTCCACCATATGACTTATAAGGGTAGTTCGCTTTGCCCTGGCTGCCATAAGTTCTGTGGGTGTCAGGATTGCTGTAGTCTTTGCCTTGGAGAGGGACATAGGGATCAAAGTCATTGTAGTCATAGTTGTTGTAGCCACCTGTGTATGCATGGTTGAAACCAGTATCAGGGAACTTCCGATACGGGCCATTAGGATGACCTTGTTGGAATGGCCTCCTTATGGGGTAAGGGCGTTGCTGACCCAGCCCATACAGATTGGTGTCATAGTCTGGAGCGGGAATATTGGGGTTTATTGCCTGGGTCCTTGGGGGTTGTCTGTTCAAACCATGTGGTGGATACTGTCTGTTAAATGCTGGTCTGTAGCCCATGTTAGAGGCAGGCTTGTTGTCCATGAGTCTGTCATCTCCTTCTGACGGGGCATCAGGGGCTAGTGTCTGGAATGCTGAGTCCTGACTGCTGGGCTTGGGATACATTTCACTTGGCTGAGCTTTAGGCAAGCTTGTCTTTTGGGGAGAGTGAGTAATCTCAGGCTTGGCTCTTTGAGGGGGTCGAGGTCTTGCTTCAGGACGACCAACTGGAGTTGCATGTAGATCATGCTTTGGAGTTTTCATTCCTGAACTCGCTGGAGGTCTATCTGCACTTTCCTCAACAGTTGTGTCGACCCTGTGAACCCTCTTACTGGCAACATCTGAATCACTCTTCTGCTTGTCCTCATTCCTCTGACCCTCGGGCAACACTTCATCTCTGTACCATGATACCTCTGGCTTTGATGGGAGGAACGTAGGCTTCACCAAGGGCCGGTCAGTTTCAGATATGCTCACTCTTTCTAGTTCTTTATCCACATCCGATGAGTACTCATAATCATGCACCTTTCCCCTGGTATTGCTGTATGCATTGTTGACAGTATCAGCAAGTTTGTCAGTACGATCAGCATCCTTAGTGTAGACTCCCTGACTCACTTCCTTGCCGTCACTCAGCTCCTTCTCTAGGTCTGTCCTGGAGTAGTCTCCCTGTGGTAAGTCAGGGATCTGTATGTCACTGCCATAGCCCATATCATCATAGTTCCCATCACCAGGGAGACTTGCTGGGGGTTTCCTTTGCCATGGTTCTAACTGTTTATCCGCCACCAGTGCTAACAAAATCAACAACCAATAAACTAGTTATGAACATAATCTCTAACAGACCACACCCAGCCAAACTAGGATATAACTGTTATCACTGTACATCATGCTGAGTCCAACAAGCTCAAATCTATCTGACAAAGAAGGAACTCCTTTCTAAACCTACAGCATTCTGAGACATTTTTCAGAGAAAATATCAAAATAGTACCGGGTACTTTGAATTTCTACTATTTTTTGGGAAAATGTATCCAGATAGTAATATAATGACAAAATAAACCCGGGGGCCTGCCACAGAATATATGTATTTCATGTTTTCGTCTCAGCTTGGCTTTGTAATTCAGGTTGAAATAAGACAACTGTACATCAGTGAATTCCAGCCAGCCATAAATCACAATGGAGAGAGCCTGTGTCAGGTGATGTCATATTTGACTGTGATTGTCCACAGAGTATCAGCATGGTTCTTGTTACTGGGAACAGTGAATACAATTCCCTTTCTTAATAATTCAATCCCACCACCAACTGAACCACTGTTTGGATTAACAGTAGCCCTCTATCCCCCTGTAAAATTGATAACACAACTTGCATCATGCATGAGTGACTCAGAACAAAAGTGTAGCATTCTGCTTGGTTGTTAACATTCAATCAAATCGCAGAACTATTTTTTCTGTGTGTGTGTGTGTGTTTATGTGCCTATATGTGAATAGACAGGAGTAACTTTACGCCACCAGATCGCTGATAAGTCAAGGGGGTTGGGGAGTACATGTGAGTTGTATACATTGATATCTCTGTATTTACAAAACTCGTACAATATAGAAGATAATTTGCTACTCTCCACATAACAATAACCTATGTAAATACTGAGATATTGACAGACGGGTACATATTATGCTGTTTCTGTGGGCGGTTCCCTTGAAACAAAATGAACAATGAACAATGACTTCAGGTACAATAACATCCTCCTTCCCTCCCTGATACTCTGTATACTGATGTAATACACCAAGTTAGACAACCCCTTCTAAACCACCTGCAACCAAAGATCAGGAACTTTTTGTTCATCTACTAAATATCTGAAGACAAGTTAGTGAAAGGTAAGTAGACTGTCACATTACAGTGACTGACAATATGCCAAGTCTATTCACCTGTAGGGGAGCAGTCTCTCTCATCTGATCCATCTGCACATTCTGTGGTACCATCACAACGCTTGGATTTGGGGATGCAGTCTGGTCCCACCCATGATGTCCCTCGAATCTTGCACTCGACCTGATCTGCACCACATACCTCTCCTGGAACAAACAGTCACACCACCTGCAGACATATGGTAGACTGCACACATGGTTACTGCACAATACATGCACACTATGTTGATGATATTCTAGGATATTTGTGGCTTTATTGCAAATCTAGAAGGTATGAAATTATAGGGTTCATTCATTGGCATCAAATGATACAAAATCTGAGAATTTTATGGTTTGACCCAAGATCATGAACTATACAGCTCATTTTATCCACAGTAGTTACTTTAATAGTCACATGTTCTATTATATATTAAACAGCTAAACATATCGGAGATAGCTTTCAGTGTACAAACATGATTAAGGAAATAGGATACTAAGGTCTCTCTCACAAACAATGTAAAACATTCTAAACATGAGACATATGATTGCAAACTACAGGCTGTGCCAGGACAGAAAAGTACAGCTCTTACACTTGAGCTTTGTAGGTCAGAGTTGAGTTGAGTTGAGTTTTATGTCACATCAGCATTATCTTAGCCATATAGTGACGAGACCAAGTCTGCATACATGGACATTTTAAGTACCAAGCTTAAATGAGTTGGGTTTTTTAAAAATATTTATTAATTACATTATTATTTACAAAAAGAAAAAGTCATAGCAGACAATTCAAAAGCAAGAAATCCGTCATTCACATTGCACAGTTAAAACTTGCTACAGATACAGGTGGTTGAGAGACATCAGTAGACAGTCCTGATAAACCACCTCACATGTCAGGTATAACATGCATGGAGGAAACACAGGTACACCTGCAAAATACTGGATACCTACTAGTGTTTCATAATTGATTGGTTCATTACAACCCCATCTATAATCGAAAATAATTGGTTTGTGGTATTTATCAAATTTTCATGTTATGTTTATTAATGCACAAAATTAAAAAACAACAAACAAAATAACCCCATGTAGTTCTTTGGTTTTTGGTTTTTTTCTTGCAAATTGTACAAAATGCATTTGAAAATTTCACATCTTTAAAGTATGACTAGCATGTAAGGAACATATATTTCTTTGAGCCTTTACGATAAATTCAGTCATGACTTGGAAAGAGCTTGTAGTGCTTTTGAAATGTAAATTTAATGACACAGGCCAAACCAAATATTGTTAATGCAAACAAGTGTTCCCAAATCGTTTGTGGTCGATTATGAGAAAACATAATCAATTGCTTGGTTGTTTAGTCAATGCGACCAATCTTCGATTATTTCAATTAATCGGACCACCACTAATACCTACCAACCTAATCCTAACCTGACCCTAAAACTAAACTTAAACCTTGCCCTAACCCTAAACCTTACCCTAACCCTAAAACTAAACTTAAACCTTGCCCTTGCCCTAACCCTAAACCTTACCCTAACCCTAAGTAAACTCGCATGCTTTCAAAGATGCGGAAGGTATCTGGTATTCTGTAGTCTTACCGAAACACAATCTGGCACAACTAACACAAGTATATATAAATTCCCTTCTACACACTCTGAATACTTAACATAATTCCAAATAAAATTTCTCCTGAACAAAGCATTACAGATTTTAATTCTGGTATGAGTAGGCAGCCAAAAGTACAATGAAAGAATTATTTGAGCTCATGATTACTATGCAGATAATCCAAAAATTCCATCATCAAAGCAGTTGATTAAATAAGTGGTTGACTGTTGACAGAAGATGCACGACTAAAGGCTGTTATTAGCCTGTCAAATGTGAGCAAACTAAACAATAAAGCCACACCAATACCAACTTAAAAACATTATAACTCAATCTTGAACAGCACAAAGGCCTCCTGTGTTGTTATGGCATACAACACTACTCCTACACAAAGTTCAACTGGTATTGAAATTAATGTATGCCATAGCAAAAACTAATTCTTAATCCAACTCTTTAACCTAGGAACATGAGACTTAAAATAAGATACTTGACACATATTTAGATTTCAGCATAAACTTAAATCAAACCCTGGCCTATGACCATTACAAATTTGATAAACAGGGAATTTTAAGTGGAGTTACTTTCCCTATCTGAGCATATTGACTTTGGAAAATGCAATATACGAGTTTATGAAATCCACTTGGCAGCCCGTCTACTCCAACTGTTTGCTCTGCTGGAAAGTAAACACGGTGGGGATTGTCAATAACAGGGACATTAAGAAACCCTCTGACACAAAAACAAGACAGTATTTGAAGGTCAATACTTATATGTATGCATGTCACACCAAGACAGCTGCCTGAACAATCCAGAGTATCAGAAGCTTATTTTTACTAAGTGACACAACACTTGAATGGGAGATGATGTTTTAATCTAATTTGTACTTGAACACCAAAAGAATTTACTAAGTTGTGAACCTGGTGATTAATATGTAGGACAATGCTGACTGATGCCAATTAGTTTTGTCTCTTGTTCGCCTGGCCAAGAAAAGATTCTATGCACATATCTGAGAGGACAAACCTACACCGACAGTTTGGTGTAGAAGTGCATTCTAAACGCAACAGTTCAGCCAGATCCTGAAGCTGGCCAAGGTGTGACTTACTGCAGAAACCACTTTTCTGTTTGTAGTTGTCCTGACACTTGCAGAAACCTGTTGATGAGCAGACAGCATGTGGGTCCTCACAGCTCAGGTCAGCCAGACAAGAACCATCCAAGGCCACTGTAATATAAAGGTTCTTGTCAGCTATGATACCAATTATTTTACCATGCCAATCATGGCAGTGTTGTCTGATATGTACAAAACCAATTAATATAGAAAGCAGAAACATTTATAGATCTGTGAAAGGATACATTGATATTGAACATAAGGTAAAACCAAACTAAAACTGAAGAAAGACGATATACTGGCCAAAAACAAATGGTCTACATGAGTTCACAGTCATATATACATAAAGATACTGATTACTATGGCGTGGCCACAGACAGCATAGCATGGTCTCCAATAGCCCTGTCCACCCATGATTCACATACTCTGCTGATGTCTGTTGTGCTGGACAGTATCATTTATTTTCATTCCATATGTTAGTCTACTAATTCGATTGAATTTGAGCCCACAAGCTTTGCTTGCTCAATTCCACTTCACTATGGCCTGTTTGAACATCAATATAATATGGACAAGAAAAATGTGACAACAGTGGATTATCAATTTTAGAGACCAGATTATCAATATGAATTACAGAGCAATCCAGCATTAATATACAGGATAAAACATCAGTAGACAGTCCTGATAAACCACCTCACATGTCAGGTATAAGATGCATGGAGGAAACACAATCTGGGAATTGTAGAGCAATCAAGCATGAATATACAGGATAAAACAATTTCCATTCGGCTTCCATTAAAAGCAAATTATTACACTTTAAAAAGCTAACATTGGTTGCATAACTGCTTAAATATCATGCTTGACGTTTAATGCCTCAATTTAAAGCCAGTGTCGTTTTGAAAACAATTATTATGGCACTTTCATCTTTCACTGTATAAAATACTACTTTCAGTCAGTTAAAAATTATGTGAGATGTCATTGTGACAATAACTTCAACATTCAGAAAAGTTGGCACATTTCTAAAGAATTCAGGGATATGCAATTAGGTTTTTTCAACTTCAACAGCATTTAGTGACTTCTCATTCTACATTTTTAACAGTCTCAGTGATAAATCTACAATTTTTAGTGTGTAAGTCCTGGGACTCACTGTTGAAAAGTAACAAGTCCTTTTGAAATTTTTGTGAGTCCCTTAAACTTCAGAAGAAGAAATGATCAAATAATCAAAGCCAAGCAGGGTTTTCCACTTGTTTGTCGCTGAACTGCATTTACCAATGTCTAGATTTCATTGTTAAAAAACAATTTTAAAGCATTGTTGTTAATCAGGGTTAGAACTAAATGAAATTTCAAGAAGCAAAAACATAAAAGTAATTCCAAAACCAATAACCTATAGTTTTCACAACCTTAACTAATGGTAAACACTTGTGAAATAAACGTCTTTCTTTGCTGCAACAGGGAAATTCCTAAGATCTGGGCCAGTCAATTTTGATTGTAGAAGGGGGTAGGCTTATCTACGGGCTACACTTTCGTGAAACCTTTTTTCAGGGAGTAAGAAAACGACATTACATATCGGTTTGAGTGAACGAACAAGAGAAGACAACTTTGTCAGTAAAGACAGTAAATTTGCAATTAAACATCACTAGACACGATTGTTTACCATTTCAGTTCCAATTTGTTTTTGCTTTGCATTGTATTATATGCAGGGATTAAGATTACCGTGTGTATTTGTCTCGATTACAGAGCCGGAAATCGCAATCAGCTGTGCACACGTCCCCCACGATTTACCAGTGATTTTCAATATGAATTCTGATGCAGTTCGGAAACTGTTATTTTATCAAGAGAAATATATTCTAGCATTGTGTAATTCTAATTGCAGATTCTGCTCTATCAATGTAAAATATTAATAATCATAACTAATGTTATGTAATAACACTTCGGTGTATTGTTCGGGTCACCCCGTTCTGAAGTATACCCTTGGTGTGACAGACTAGTTTTAGTTGGACACGAGGTCGTGATGTTTTCGATCAATCATCAGTCTAAAGAAATTACGAACGTCACCAAGCTTTAATATGCAGCACCTGACTGCCTGAAGTAAACCTACGGACTATACCATACATTAATATATGCAAAACCTAAAATAGATATAGGTCAAGAAACCGCTTTGGGTATTTGTCATGAAAATAGAATGATGAAACCGGGCTGGTTTAACAAACAGAAGAGTTTATCAACATGATTTGCAGTCTTGTTTATATATTTACCAAAGACGCTTTTGATTTGCGATGCATATATGCGTCCTGACTCCACACATGTTACGCAGGTGCGTGTGTTGACACAATATGATAGTTACGTGGTCATTTATATTGCGTGACAGGTCACATCGATTTTCATTTTTTTTAGGGCGAAGTACGCGGGGAATAGTGCAATTGCGCAGCCTGGATGCAACACTGTGAGACGCCAAAAAAGTCGTCCTTTATTACTATTGTAATTTGTATTAGCGTCCGTTAATTTCAACCCTTGCAGTTTATTTATTTATAAACATGATTGGTGAATATGTATGCATCCACAGGATGCACAAGATATTTGTGTGTCCTTCCAAAATTTCATGCGTATATTACGCAGGACGCGCAGGTAGAATTATCCGTTCAGTATATACATGTAAATTAATTTTCTGGCTAAAATTGATATTTTATACTTATCCTGACTCATGCTCTTTTGCTTGTCTCCTTCTTCTTGCGAATGATAGTGGAACACTTGAATCCCCTTTTGAAGCTCCCTTAAAAAAAGCGGACGTAAAATCACTCACCCCATGAGTAGCCTCCCTTTGCCCTTTGGCGCCCTTATTGGTCATCTGACCAGCCATGCTTGTCACTCTCTCCGTATATGAGCCCGACTCTCAGATTACCGGGAAATCCAGAGTGTCCAGAGGGGAGGTTGGGAGGGATGACCTAATGAGTCAGGATAAGTATAAAATATCAATTTTAGCCAGAAAACTACATATTTTTCCTTATCCTGACTCATGCTCTTTTGCTTGTAGAATCCGATGGAACCGGTGGTGGGTCAGGCCACTTCTGGATTCATCGGTTGTAGATTTACGTCCTGCATACCCCCCGTGGGAACTTATGATGGCACTTGTGCTGATCCTTTTCTCTTCCAGCTTCCTCTGATGAGTCTGGGGGGACCACAACTCTTCTCCTGACATTATGTGTGGATTTATGCAACTCCATGTCTTGATGCTCGCATCAAGTGGAGAAGCGACCCTTCTTCATGTACGAGTAAGTCCTTTACAAGTACAGGGTCTATCACTCATGCTGGTCTGTCCTAGACGTGCGCATGGACTCTACAGCTCTAGCTCTCCAGAGCGTTGGCTTTTACAAGTCACGTGATAAAAGGGTGAGATCCATCTCAACGCCTTTGTGGAACCGTGTCAATTGTTGTTCTACAACAAAAGGCCCAAACTGGTGAATGCCGGGGACGTCCTCGGTAGCAATGTCTCTGAGGTAGTGGTTGGCAAACACCGTCTCCGACTTCCAAAAGCAGCCATCCATTATCATCGAGATGGAGCAGTTTCCATGCAGAGCGAGTGTCGATGCCAGAGCTCTGACTTCATGAGGGTTGGAGGCTCGTGGAGGCTCAAGTCCTGCTGCTTTGTAGGCCCTTAAGATGACTGGTCTCATCCAAATGGATATTGTTGTACGTGAGACTTCTGTGGTTGTCTCCGTGGATAGAAGGATGAAAAGGCGCTTGAATTTTAACGAGTTAAAAACTCGTAGGATGTCCTTTCTAGTGGTTCGTAAGCGTCACTGGTGAGATGCTGCAAGACTACGTCGAGATCCCAAGCAGGCTCCTTAAACTTCTTTTGTTGGTCTTCCAACTTGAAGGAGCGTAGTAGTGCCAACTTCGTAGTGGTAACGGAGAGAGTAGTGCTTGAGATACCATGGCTTGTATCTAGACCCAACGATCCTCTGTGATGACCATGCGATTCTGTGGTGAGATGAACATCTTCCCAGAAATCTGCTCATATCCTATGTTGTAGGTAAGTAGACCGTGGAACCCTTGCCATGTCCGTAATGGAAGCGGAGCTATGTCCGGTTCTGGAATCATGACTTGAAGTTTATTTCTTCAATCTTCCGATAATATGTCAAGAAGACTTTTCCCCAGAATCCCAACAAAGTGCATTGACGCATAATTCGTCGTCTCTAGATGTACTGGAACTGCCATCGCTGTGAAGTCTATGTATAGTAGACGGGATGCCGCGAGCAGAAATCATCAAAAGTATGTTGCTGCAAATCGCCGGATAAACAATCTTCAATCTGCTGACAGGGAGGGTCCTTATGACCCGTGAAGACAGTCGAATCAAGCTGTACCCTGCTAACTGGACTGTAAATGGAGCCTTCCTCCCAAATTGAAAAGTTGTTTACAACTGTAGACGACTTCCTGGCATGTAAGCTATGCCCGACTTCTGCGTAGGGCGTGGTCTCTCATGGACCAGTCAAATTGCAGCATTTGATGCATCTCAGATTCCCGCGATGTGACGTCACCGGTGTTGCAGGAAAAAGATCCTTGTAAAATCTTGTGCAGTTGTTGATTTCTTCATTAACACTCGGCCTTGTCCGTAACCTCCCGGAGTTACACGAGTGAACACGTGTATAGCAGGCTGAGTGGAAAACGCGCGAAGGATTTTGCCACGTAATACCGATGTAGGTAGACTGTCTCCCTGGCTGTTGTGATTGTTTCCTTCTTCACTGAAGATAATGCAGTCGTCATCTTATACAGATGATCAGCTGAAGTTCCATACTTGCTGAACGCTGTTACTTGTAGACTGTAGTCATCGGTCTCAATGAAGCGCCGTAAAATAACCAATTGTGTTGAATACAAAAAGGTTCTTGTAGAGTTGATTCTTCGCTACGATGACCGTGAAAAAACGATGTCACGCTGAGAACTGCGACAATGCCAATGCTAGGCCAGTGATAACTGTCAAGCTGTCCCGTTCCTCACAAGAGTCAAGCCCGCTGATGTTGGATCTGTCTCGCCAGAAACAAGTACATTTAGTAGTTGTTTAAGTTCTGCAATGGGAGTCGTTGATCTTGTAGTTCTCATCAATCTCTGGAGCCTTCATGAAG